CTGAAGCTTTGGCAATTGTCGCGACTCGCGGGAAACTGCCACGACCCGTCAAAAAAGAAAGCAAAAATGAAAAAGTAAGAGTATAATAAAAAAGGAAAATACGTGAAATGTTACATAATTTATGCCAGCAGTGCGAGCCGTCCTTCTTTTCTTTTTTTATCCTCGGTATCAGTATTTCAGTGGCAGCAAGAGCCCCTTGCAGGACTCGAATAAATATGCAATTTAGTTTAGGCATTTGAATATTCCCCTTACCGAGCGCCGCCTTTCAATCTTTTGATGAGCCAGTCGAGTTGGCAGCAGCTGCGTTTTCCGCTTTTCCACGATTTTCACGTCCTGCGATTCATTGGCAGCCTGACACTAATGAAAAAAGCCAAATCGTGTCGAATGCTGCGAGTTCGAAGCAATTGGGTAAATAATTCTTACCATCAGGAGTTTCTCTTCCTCAAAATTGTTTATAGCCTAAAATAAAATATTTAGTTTAGGTTGAACACTTCGCCAAATTATTAATTCTTATATCAGGTTCGAAATGTATCATGAGCAAGATTAAAGTTGTAGTATAGTTTCCAAGAACATGATTATCAGAGGAGCTTATAATTCTTTAATGAACAAGGAAAAAGTTTCCTAATTTAGCATATCATGTGCTGGCCCTTTCGTTGCTAGCTATTTATAAGTTTGTTCCGAGTAATTAATTTGGTCAGATAAACTGGTTTCTTATCATAAATCAAATTACTGAAATTGATTTTTACCATGTTACATGTTTTAATTACATTTAATAAATGACCTTAGCGCTGCGTGAGTAAAGATTATGTATCTAAAATGTATTTACGGATACATTAAACAAAAGTATTGAATATAAATAAAAGTGTAAATAATATTTCCTTTTTAATCCTTATTTTCTAAGACTTAATTATTATTTTAAAGGTTTTCATCGATAGAATAATAATTTTTTTGCTTATTAAATTTAAGCTTTTAAAGAGAAAACACCCCGCTATGTTGTCTTACTTTCTTGTCATAAATTATTAGTTTTTTATTGGTTCCTTGTTTGACTAATACAAACACCGAAAACTTTGCGTGCTAATAAATAAAAGAACAGCACGAAAACACCCCTGTCAGAATACAGTTTACCCTTAAAGTTTTGCTGTTTTGTAAAGCCCTAGCAAATAAATGCGTGTTCGTCGCTCCTAAAAAATTGTGTCAGAAATAAATACGAATATGTATCTGCTAATATACACCCATATGCATATTTTTGAAATTTAAATGGACAGCAGAGAGCGAGCACAACCTATACCTGTCATCCGACTGAAATGCAATCTCAGTCGGCAGTCCCCAGAGGTAGAAATCCATTCTATTGCAATTCATATACATTTCATCTTTGCAGCCTCACTAAAGTTTCTCATTTCATATGACTCTTGGGGGGCTATAAATATCACAAACATTTATTTGTTGACATCTCTTTTTTTTACGATTTTATTATTTTTTGCCACTGCGTGCCAATTTATTTATATTAATGTCCCAAGTGATTTCGGTTTCCCATATCAACAGGGTCACATCTGATGGAAATGCAGTGGGGAAGGGACTTTGGCCTTGGATATAATCTGTTTGTGGGTTTTAGGCTTCCTTTTCAATTTTAATAAAGCGATTTTCAGGGTAAGACAAATGACATGTTCAAGGTAATAGATACTTAAAATCGGTTTATGTGATTTCAAAACATTTGAATTTTTCTTATTTCTTAAAAATGAAAATGAAATTCTCATATATTAAAGGACAAATGTTATTTTTTAGTTTTTTCTGTTGGTTAAAGATATTATAGAACGTATTGGGATGCTTATTTATATAGGCTTATTATTATTTAAGTTATTTTGTAGTAAAAGTGGGGAGTGTCTAATACCTCTTTAATGGGTATGCACTAGTTGTTTAAACAAATTGGTTTTCTTTTGCCTGTCAAGAATGTTTTGAGCTGTTTTTTTGTTTTCCGGCTGCTCCTGTTGGCCTGTTCGTGAGTGAATTCTTGTCTTTGCTGGCCATCTCTGTTCGTTTTCGTTTTGTATTTATACAAAGAACTGTTGAAATATTTTTGCATCATTGCCTGGCTATCTTTCTGTGTGTCCGGCCAGCTATTTTGCTGTTAGACCATTTCTCTTGCTCCCCCAATTGCTTGGATCTGACAGTCAGGCAAGCCGCAAACTAAATGATAGGCCTGGGCCAAGGCTCTGGTTTTTTTTAGCTGGGAAAATCCTGCACTCCGAAGGAATGTGGCATGTAAATTCGTTTTGACATTTTAATTACGCTGGCACCAAAAGCGGGCCTATGTAAGTGCGTACGTGTAGCTGGCTGACACATTAATGCATTCCGGCAAGATTAAGCAATCAGAGAGCGCTTGAACTGTGGCATAATTGGAGCAACCTGACAGGCGAACTGCCATCGGGGGAGGTGACTGAAAGACTCCATTTAGGCCATCAGCTAGTGGCTCGATGGCCTGGTTCCATTTCCCCCATCACTTTGGCACTTGACTCTCGTTTAGCGCCGAAACAAGTTACCCACCAAAGTTCCCTCTTTTCGGCCCATCTTAACATTCTAATTTACTTTTATATTTTGTCGTGTTGATTGCGTTGCCAGGCGGCGGATCCATTACAGGATGTGTTAGTCGCCTGCCACCCTTATCACAATGATTTTGCTGCCGACGACAAATTGCCGGAAATTGACAACAAATTTCCAGCTCACACACGCACTTGTATGGGCACATAAGAAGCCCATTTACTAATTCTTCGGTCCAGTGTTTGTTGAGGATTCGCTTGGCCTGCTCCTTGGCATATCAATGGGGCAGCTCCAAATATTGACCGGAATGTGTAATCGAGTCAGGGACAACTTTGAACTTTGTCAAACCCTTTGAAAGTTTTTTGTAAGACCCTAAAAGCATATAATGCAAACTATTTCAAATATGATTAGGGCTTAAACTCAATTTGGTTCAAAGGCCTTTACCAGCCTTTATTCACTTATCTCTAAAGCAATCAATTTTTGCATAATTTACACTTTTGGCCTAAAGTTTAAATATTGTAGTTAAAAAGCATTCAAAAAGTCTGAACTATCCGAATTTGGCAATTTCTTGCCAATAATAAAATTATATAATGGTTCGTTGATCAGCCTTATAAGTTTAAATATATTTTAATATACATATATAGTTTCTTCTAAGCATTAATTAATAAATTTGGTTTTACCCACGAATAATTTAAACTAATTTATTAAATTAAAAAAAAACACTGGTTTCAATATAAAGGCAGACTTTATTTAAATAGTTTCAAACAGATTCTTTATATTTCGCTCAGAAGACCACATTTCATATAGTGAAGCATGGCAATCCTTTGTTCTAAGCCTCGGTCGATTTTCTATTGTTCAACAAAAGAGTATCTCTATGCCAAATTTAAAGCTGGATTATATTGAATATTAAAGCGGATTCTAATGCATTTTCGATAGTAAACCGGCTGCAATTGAAGTTAGGGGATTTGCATATAGAATGAAGGATTCCGAAGTGCCCTGAACGCGCCACCCATCCACTCAGCCGCTGTCAGTTGCACTTTTGTTTTAGTCCATAGACCTTGGTTTATACATATATTAGTGACGGGCCGAATAGAATTCGGGTTCATCAATCACTTATGGAAATCAATACGCTTCCCATTATACGCAGTTCAGAGTGGGAGAACCTATTGTACTTTCATGTTTTTGAATTCCCAAATGAATTGATGACGGGGTCGGTGGCTTCTGCACCTCATTTTTGCTTTTCGTTCTTTTAGTATGATTGGAAGTGTTTAAATATCTCCATTCCTATGTTTACTCAGCCACTATATGTGGTTAGTTGAAACGTGCCCGAAATATAAAAATAGTGTAAAATGCCTCAGGGGAAAGTACAAATCCCTAACAGTTTCTAACTTAACAGAACTCTGACAGCGCTTGCAGTTTTCCCAACATTCCCCACAGATGGTGCTTTTCTTCATACTTTTGTAGACTTTTCTTTTGCTTTTCCATCTGACGTCATGAGGCCACTGCTGACGTCACAGAAAAGCTTCAATGTTTACACGGAACTCAGTGGAATGGAATGGCGACCTGCGTGTTTCGATTCCACACGTGTCTTTGGCGCCAAATTTGTTGTTTGTCATTCTGTTTTGTTGCTCTCCTTCTTCTGGGTTACGGGACCAAAAATCGTAACGCTTTTTGCCGGAGAGCAGAAGCGGATTGCTCTTACGTTTCTTCTTTTGTTTGTTATATAACACGTGCTTCAGTAAACACTATGTAGTGGCGTTGCACTGATAAAAATGAGTGATATCAGATAAAATTACCTATCATATGGTAAAATAATTTAATGCCCCAGTAGCGAAACACACATTTTTTAAATACTAAGTATTTCTTTCAGGACAAAAAGTTTTTTATTGGTAAGAATTTAAAGCATTTAAATAAGAGTCTAAATTATTTTGTATTCTCAGAGTTACATGTTATTGTATTTCGATGAAAAGCAATATTTATGCCTAATTATTTTCTAGTAATCGAAGATTTTCAATCACAAACTTAAGTCTCTAAGCTAATCTTTTTGGATTTCTTTATTTTAATAATGATATTTTTAGCTATAAATCGAGGTCAAGTAGAACTTAACTGAACGACTTAAAATTGTACTGCAGTATTTAAAGGAATAAGGACTTAAAATCAAAAACTCTGTGCTAACGGGAACTATATACTTATTTAAAATAATTGTTAAGTGATTGATGCTTTACTTGTTATGCAAACTCGACCATTTGACAACTCTAGTTAACTGCGTCCAGCATTCAATGCGCCTTAAGAGAGGCGACATGGAAAAGAGCACCGCCGAAGAGCGGTCCGAAGGACCAAGACACGGATGCACGCACACAGGCACACTTGGTGGGTCCTGCTCCTGGTGGTGCGTGACTTTAGACGCCTGCTGGAGCCAGTTACAAAAAGATTGGTAGCAGTGCCTCAGTTCGTTTGTGCTGCCAGTTGGATGCAGAACGCTTCGACGACCGAGCGATATATCCGTGGAATCGAGCTGAATATATGCGGTATGGTGTGCGCGACTGTGTCACCTTCGCGAATTAATCAAAACGTATTTGAACGGCATTATCATGCTTGCGGTTGAGGGCCACCCAAGGCCACCCACCACGTGACGGTCGGATTTGTTGTGTTAATTAGCGGAAAATGTCAGGCCAAAAAATATAATAAAACAACGACAGCAGGGCTGCAAAGTGAAAGTTACTGTGTGTCCTTGGGCTCAAGAGAAAATAATGAAAATATATTAGTACATGGTGGAATAAAAAACGAAATGAATTACAAAAAATAGACTGAAAGTGTCAGGATTACAAAGCAAAAAAAGAGCACTGAGAAATCCTTTTGAGTGCGTGGCTGCAAACTAAAACTTTATAGCACACTTTTGTGCGCAGCGTTTCAAGGAACTTCTTTTTCGCCCAAAATCGATCCGCCTCGTTGTCCCTCATCTTTGTTTACCGAGCCCAGCGAATTATTTTCAAGTGAACATTTTTATTTTTACATATGTTGGCAGAACTATGTTGTCTTGTTTGTTTATGTGAAGAGCCCCTGCAGGTATTTGGCCGTTGTTTTTTGCTGCCTCGAAATCGCCTTGACACATTTCGTTTTGGCCATAGCAAATTGCTTCATGCTACGGCACATGGGATGCTGCAGTTTATTTTGCTTATCTCTTCTCCCCGACAATATTTCTTGCCACACCCACCCACAGCTGACACACAGATTGTTGTCAGTTCGTGGCTGAAATTTTCAATTAGGTTTTATGACACATTCCGTCCGCTGCCGCTGCCATCGATGCAGTCAACCCGCAGACACCCCCTCCCCTTTCACATTTCGCATTTTGTGCGCCACCCATTTAGTCGAAATTGGCCAAGCAGCGCAAATTTGCATACCAATTAAGTTTATTATATATTTACTTTAACTTTCATTAGGCCACTTGGCGATGTGCGGTCCTATTTTTGCGGCTTGTTTTGGTAAATTGGAATAAATGAAAACAAAGTTTAATTAGGTTGCCAAAGGTCTCAGCCGTAACTTCACTATTTTGAAACTTTTATAATTAAACTTTATACGTTTTCCCTTTTGAGTAAGTTTACAAATATTGGCAGTTTTAAATTAGTTTTCATTAGACATTTTTGATTTTGCGGAAAATGCATTTGGTAAAAGTGTGGATAAGCTTAAAAATAATTTATTGATTTTTTTCTTTTTTTTTTGCATATTTGAATTAAGAAGAAATTAAGTATATATTTAAATAAATGTTTTCGATAATATAACTTTTTTTATTAATCAAAATAAAAAGAATATAAGCTATGATAATTTAGTTCTAAATAGGTCTATTCAGACATAAGTAAATTTAATTAAGCCAAAAGTATGATAGTGGTAACGATTTTTTAAAATTTTGTATTCCTTTAATTTTTTAATTTTGCATACAAGCTTTTGGGTTACCTTACATATTTGAATACATTTCCTTTGAATGCATTCTGTTCATAATAAAATAATCAAATTATAATATAATAAATTTTCTAACTTATTTATGTTGCTGACAACAAAATCAGCATCAGCCATAAATTATACGGAATTTTCGTTTGCCAAATAAAATACAGGCAAACGGAAAAAGGCAAAGAGTAACCAAATCGAAAAGCCACAAAACCTAAAATAATAATGAACATAAAAATATCGTAAAAAACAAACTCATATTGGCTTTACCAAAGGCAAAAGACCCATAAATGGAGGGTCGTAAAAGCCCTTTAAGGCGAGCGGCACACATGTCGTATGAGTTATATTTTGAATTTAATTCCTCACTCATTTTCCCGGGCCTGCAGCAGTGATCAGAAAAACACAAAGACATAGGAGAGAAGGGGGACAGTTCAGTGACTGGGTAAGCTGGGAAAATACCTTAAAAAGCTAAAAGTGAAAGCTTAACAAAATTGAGAAAAACCACCAAAAAGGCCAGCAAGGAGAGGAATGCGGCGAAAACTTTTGTGGCTACGTGGCTGGGACTTTTGGATCCTTCCCGGGGGGCAGGCGGAAACGGGATGTAACAGCATAGGCTAATCCCTGGCTAACGCCCCATCACCGGTGGAAAGAGAAAGGACTTTGACCAAGGGCTGGCAAAAGGTCGAGTTAATCTACGGTTATGCCACACTGCAAATTGTGGCCGACAAGAAAAAAAAGAAGGTCGGATAGGGATAGAACTTTTACATGAAATATATGTGTGTGAATCTCTGGCCGTCTCAATGCAGCCATTGTCATGCATTCCAAATGAATAACTTTGAAACTGGCACAATGTATCCCAAGTTGTAATCAAAGTATCTGTTCCCTCACCAGGGACTAACCAATTCATATTTCCCTCGCCTTCTGAGATTAATTAAAGTTGGACAATTTCCACTTGTTATCCTGATGATGATTCAGCTGTGCCCACTTTTAGATTGATGACTTTTTCATTCACTTGGCATTCTCTGTCAATTTCTCAGCAAATGACATCGCCAGGCTCCACTCGTATAATTGACTAATGAGGCAAAGTTCAGGGTCCAGCAAATGTTTTGTGCCATTGGATGACATTTTGGCATTGCTGGACATAAATACATTAAATGAGAGCTTGTGTTTTGTGCTTGTTTGCGGTAAATCAACACGGACCATAAGTATGCTAATTTTATTTGCCATAGAAATGGCACATTTTAACAATTTGAAAAAGGATTTTTAAGTGTGTATTTAGTTTTATTTTAATTAATTTTTGTGAATAAATATTTTTTTTAATCTTGTTTATTATGCATAAATGGATTTAGAAACCTCTGGCAGTTTAGAAATGATCAAATTATACAACAACATTTTATAGAACACAAAATTTAAAGCAAAAACAGTTAAGCTTGTGAAATTCAGCCTGAGTCAAGTGGCTTTTATTTTACTCACTTTTGCACACACATATAAATGGTTCTCCTTGGTTAACTTATTATTCCTGTGGCATAACAGCTCCCACAAAGACAAATATATAATCCAATCTCTCTCTGGGAAAATACTTAAATTTTTGCCTTTACTTCGCCCCAAGCATTTGTGGTTGACATTTGTTGTGGACCTCCAAAAATTCTTAATGCTTATTTTTATCTGATAAGTGATGACGGTTGCGGTCGAAAAAAAATTGCTTGAGTGCCCAGACTTACTCGATTGCTGGTTGTTTGTTTGTGCTAAATGTATTACACAGACAACTTATCACGCTGTATTAACCCAAACCATATATATATATCCTCTGGCTTTTTTTCTGATTTGTTGTTGGACTTTGGACGCCCACTCAACAGGAGGCATCGTTTGTTTGTACATTATTTGTCTTTTATATAGTGGAGATTTTTCTCGACGGCTCCACTTCGCATTTGCCACGATTTTTTTGGAGTTGAGTCACCGTCAGTTTAGTCATTCCTGCTGCCGTTTTCTCTCGTGCTTTGAAATTTGATGCAAGACTTTCGTTTAGTGAGACTTAGAAAATTTGATTTGGCCTTAAAGTTGTAGACATTGAATTATCGGTAAACTTAAAAGTCAGTTTCGGTTAGCAACTTTAGTATACAAATGTTCATCCAGTTGAAAAAGTTTTTCCCTAACTTTTACTTTATGCTGGACAAAAGTTTTCTTTTGAATATGTAATAACAATATGCGAGTGTATGCCAGGCCGTTAAGAATTTGGCAGAGAATATCTGTTTAAATCGAAGAACAAACTTGTTTGACTTGCTAATTTTAAGCTTTTCTTAGACAGGTGCGAAAAAAAATGCGAATGTGTGGTTCTTGGATAACTTTTCCTCTCATATCGAAATGCAAACAGAGAAGACGACAAGGCAAAGTAGAAATAAAATTTCAATTTCCCTACCACAAAAAAGTTGAACTTTTTCTCTGCACCCACAAATCAATTTTCAACTTGGCAGAGTGAACGCCAAAAACGGACAATAAATGAAAAAGAAAAACCAAACTCTTTTATGGATGCTGGCCAAAAATTAAGGAAAAGTTATCCCCTACTGGAAATTTAAAACAAAATAAATTCGAATCAAAGGAAATGGCTGATGAAAGAAATTAAAATGAAAATGAAACATAAAAATAAGCCAATTTTTGTAATAAGTATTAAGGAAATATTTTACATTTATAATAAACTTAACTTAACAAATTTTTCCGAGCTTAAAAAACTTGGTTATATAAGCTGCCAACATCTTTGTCCCAACATTATAAAACATCTTTGTTATAAAATTATATTGTTATATAAATACTTAATAGACTTGCCAGGATTTGAATCCTTTTGTACACCATCTGACCTTCCTTCCTGAACCATTTCAATGCCCGAAAAGGTCATGTTTTGTGGAAAAATTGAGTTCAAAGCGCTGCTGATGAGGGTAAGATACTGCTGACAACTTTTGGCCACTTTCTTAGTAGGGGAATATTCATTTCACATGCAAATAGGTTGGATGGGGTCGGGTAAAAAAGTAGATCACACAAGCTCATTTTTATGGTCTAAGGAAAATTGTTAACGCAGGATTATCCGCTCTTGAAAAGCGGTTACACCTTCGCTTTAAAGGAACTTTTTTAGTTAAGTGCCTTAACTGGTTGCGCAGATGATGACATATGTATGTATATTGTGGGCTCATGTCTGGGCTGTGCTTTGTTTTTTCCCATTTAATTTATGGCCAACACATGCTAGGCTAACACATTTTTTATTGTGTCCGCTCCCCAAACAGCCTTCCATGAACAATTCCCGCATGTTTACAGAAGTTCTGTTTGTCAGCCATTTTGAAAGACATTTCCTTTTCGGCCCCAACAATAAATGTTCTCAGTGGTGATATAAAAAGGAAGGAACTATTGTCACATGTTTCACTTTTTTCTGCCGTTTTCCTTTTTCCCTGACTCGGGGTGAGAAAGTTCATTAATTGATAAGGCGGCAACTTTGCTCATGTGCGTTGGATATCTGACTAGGGAATTGTTCTAGGGTCAGCTACAGTTAGTAAAAGCCGAAGCCTATTTTCAGACATTTATTATGTATGTGCATATATATTGCTATAAAGTTACAAAAGGTTTTATAAGTAGATTACTACGGAACTGTTCGTTTAATAAGGAAATTATAGGGGTGGAATTTGTTTAATGGGACACTTAACATTTTTTTTAGTTGTATTTTAGTTGATTTTATTTGTCTCTTGATTAACTATCATTATTTCAAAAAGTATATTAAATCATTGTTGATGTATAATCACTTGAATAGGAGCTTAGATGTATGTAAATTTCTATAGCTAGGCTTTGTCATTCATAACCTGTACAAATAAAAAGGATTTGTTTTGTACTCTCTAAAACTAAAAGGTTACTTAGTCTTGTAAAATACTAGAATATAGGATAGGTATATTATTATTTGATAATTCTGAAGGCCTCGTGTGACTGATGAAAATCTCTTCTCCTTGTCGATGTTTCGTTTTGTTTTGGCTGGCTCCCAAAAAATATGCTAAACGAAATACATTTGTAATCATGACCTTGCCAGTGTCGCCCAAATATTTCCCCCCAAAATCCCGCTTCCTTTGATATCGCTTGACTGTAGCCCATTTAATGTCTTAGTTATGTGAAACTTTAGCTGGTAAATCGCGTGCACCACTTAAGTTTTGGTTAAGAAAAAGTGGGCGTGGCTCTAGTTTAGCACTCTTCACATTTGTTAATTGTGGCACTTAGTTGGTCAACTTATTGTGTAGCTTGCAAATTGCCTTAGGGGCCTTTTCAACACACTTAAACCAACCAATTCTTTAAATTTTATTTTGCCCAAAACATAAAACTCAAGTAGCCGAAAAGAGTACCATAAAATGTTTGTTTATATAGCACAAAATGGACGAAAACATAATTCTGCAGTAAAAGCAACGACAGAGGACCTTTAAAAGGGAGTGTCCCTAAAGCAGTCGACAAAAATTTAATTTTGTTCATTTCTCGTTCGCGTCATCTGGCAAAACTGCAGCTTTTTGTTTTGGGGTGCGTATGGGTGTGTCTTTTTTGGTGAAATTGTATTTTCATTATGCTGATGAAGGGTGTTATTCGCCACACCCCAAACTCGTATTCAGCATGAAAAGGGTCTGAAAACGGTCGTATTTTAGGGACTCATAATGAAAAAATGTGATTAATTGCAAAGACTACGGATAAAAAATAAACATGATGTTTCTTCAATCCACAACGTTTACTTATAATTTACTTTAAAATTGTTAGAAGGGTTCGGCATTTTCTTTTCCCTGAATTTTCGGTTTTACTTTTTTTATTTTATTTAAACAGAATATTGTTTTATTTATGTGTTGTTAAAGCTAAATATGTGTATATATGTAGTATAGGAACTGAATTTCTAGAGAAATAATTATTTACCGTAGCAGAATAACAAATTATTCAAAGTTATATAGATGCATGGATACTTACATTAGCTAAAACATAAATACTTTGACCTGCAAATTAAACAGAATACGTCAAAATAATTTCAAAATTTCCAATATTTCAAAAATGTCAAGTATTCTAGGGAGCAATTCATAAATCTCCTTGAAAGATTTTCAAGGATTTTGATTGAATGGCTGCCTGATTGATCGTCTTAGTATTTGAACCTTAAACTTTGCAAATTTTTGCGTGCTGCATGTCTGGTGCAGTCAATTAACCAGCAGGCGAGTGTGAGATAGAGGAAAGGTCGCCGGGTCAACAATTTATCACTGTCACTTAGTTCCAGAAAACGGCGATGTGGCTGAAGACGAGAGCGGGATCGAACGACCAAGAGCGAGACAGTCAATTGTTTGGGCTGATTGTGCTTAATGAAGTGTCGGACATGTCATGAGCACAGACAATAAACAAGCCTTCGTGTAAAGAGTCTGCAATACTCGGTCCGCAGTCCACGTTCGGTGCAGATGCTGCCTCTCTGGGTTGCAAAATATGCCCGGGAAAAGTGAAAAGTGCCAGTGACAGTGGGCCAATGTGCCAGTGAAAAGCCAAAGCAAAATTATGTAGGCCTAGATCTCGCAGACCTGCTCAGTATCAAACACATATCCCCAATCGTCCCCCTGCCGAAGGAAATGAGCCAGAACCTCCAAGTGAGCTACACCGCTTTGGGCATGTCGGACGATAATCAAACCTGCAGCTATTCGATGCAATCGGGGACATCCCCCTCCCACAACCACCGCCTGCAGCGCAATGTCAACTTCAACGAGGACCTCAACGACCTGGCCGGCTACCCCCCGCAGCAGCTGCCCCCCGCCCCGGCGGTCCGGCGCTTCTCCAAGTCCATTTTCCAGCGACCGCGTTCCATGTCCGTTTGGAGTGACATCAGTCGCAGCAGTATGCGTCTGGATGAAAGGTGAGTGACGGGCCGGAATTGGGGTTTCTAGTTCGGATTCCACGAATCGTACACTAGGGAAAATAGTCGCTGAAATCGGATTAAGTCAATTAGTTACAAGAAAAATATACAGCTTCAAGATGCCTTGCCATTATAAAATAAATAAACCTATTATTCATTTAATTTGGCCAGTTTCCATGACAGCCTTTACAATACAGGCAAAATTATCTCCTATCTTATAAAACTTACATTTATCTTTTTCGGAACAATTCAATGAGAGCTACAAGATTAAGTCGACTTATGATATTCCGGGTCACGATACTTATATTGTATAATGTCAAGAATATAATATGTTTGTGCAGACCCCTGTACAATTTATTGGTAACTTGTGACCTTTTGATTTCTGACAAACTTGGGTTTTGTCGGCATAATATATCTTGTTTTTATACCCTTGCAGAGGGTATTATAATTTTGGTCAAAAGTGTGCAACGCAGTGAAGGAGACCTATAAAGTATATATTTTTTTGATCAGGATCACCTCCTGAGTTGATATAGCCATGTCCGTCTGTCCGTCTGTCTGTTTCTACGCAAACTAGTCTCTCAGTTTTAAAGCTATCGAATTGAAACTTTGCACACACCCTTCTTTCCTTTGCACGCAGTATATATGTCGGAACAGCGGATCGGGCCGACTATATCCTATAGCTGCCATATAACTGATTGATCGGAAATGCCATAACTTTGGTGTTTGTAAAGTTAGAAAGTTGGGATTTTCTATGGGTTTTATATTTGGCCATTCAATCCGACCTTCTAAATTTCATAAGGATCGGCCGACTATATCCTATAGCTGCCATATAACTGATTGATCGGAAATGCCATAACTTTGGTGTTTGTTAAGTTAGGAAGTTGGGATTTTCTATGAGTTTTATATTTCGCCAATCAATCCGACTTATCAAATTTCATAAGGATCGGCCGTCTATATCCTATTGCTGCCATATAACTGAACCCGTTACTCGTAGAGTAAAAGGGTATATTGTATTCGTGCAAAAGTATGTAACAGCTATAAGGAAGCGTTTCCGACCCTATAAAGTATATATATTCTTGATCAGGATCACCTCCTGAGTTGATATAGCCATGTCCGTCTGTCCGTCTGTCTGTCTGTCTGTCTGTCCGTATGAACGCTGAGATCTCGGAAACTATAAAAGCTAGAAGATTGGCATTTTGCATGTAGATTTTAGAAGTTCCTACGCAGCGCAAGTTTGTTTCAAAATGGTGCCACCTTTCTGGATTTATTTTTCAATAATGGGCGATTACATTTTTTGTTTATCAACATACATCATTTTGGTCAATTGGAAATTAAGAATTATTTTCGATGCGGAAGAGATAACATTTAATCAAACTGCATCAGACAAAGTTAAGTTAAAGGTTAATGCTTAATATATAATGACTTAGATTAGGATGGGACTTCTCGAGCAAAATTAATTTTTTTATTGTGTGTATTGAATAATATTTAAGTAGCTACGATGTTTTCTCTGTATGAAGCAGAGGTTCCAAAGCAATTTGCGACATGTGGTGTGGTCTCCAGTTGTTGTTGTTTAGTATTCTTAGGCTGATTGCGTGCGCTGAAATCTACATAAATATTTGCTTTTATCCGCCTAAAGGCCTGACAAAAGGGAATATTCCCAGCGCGTGTTCTGTATGGATACGTGACACACAACGAAGTGTTATAAGCCCCATCTGATTACAGCTAATCTATCAAGGACGCAAAAAATCGATTGAAAGTAGGCATTTATATTGTGAGAAAAAAAATTTGACCATGATTTATTTGTTATATATAAAAAACAAGAAAGGAAAGCTAACTTCGGTCGGAGCCGAAGTTGATATACCCTTGCAGAATATAATGACATTATATTCTCCAAAATTATTCATATGTGCATTCTTAATACTCATAAAAAATCCCAACTTCCTAACTTTAAAAACACCAAAGTTATGGCATTTCCAATCGTTCAGTTAAATGGCAGCTATAGGATATAGTCGGCCGATCCTTATGAAATTTGGTAGGTCGGATTGATTAACCAAATATAAAACCCATAGAAAATCCCAGCTTCCTAACTTAACAAACACCAAAGTTATGGCATTTCCGATCAATCAGTTATATGGCAGCTATAGGATATAGTCGGCCGATCCTTATGAAATTTGGTAGGTCGGATCGATTGGCCAAATATAACACGCATAGAAAATCCCAACTTCCTAACTTTACCATCAGCAAAGTTATGGTATTTCCGATCAATCAGTTATATGGCAGCTATAGGATATAGTCGGCCGATCTCGGCCGTTCCGACTTATATACTGCGTGCAAAGGAAAGAAGGGTGTGTGCAAAGTTTCAATTCGATAGCTTTAAAACTGAGAGACTAGTTTGCGTAGAAACAGACAGACGGACAGACGGACATGGCTATATCAACTCAGGAGATGATCCTGATCAAGAATATATATACTTTATAGGGTCGGAGATGTCTCCTTCACTGCGTTGCACACTTTTGACCAAAATTATAATACCCTCTGCAAGGGTATAATAATAACAAGAAAGGAAAGCTAACTTCGGGCGGAGCCGAAGTTGATATACCCTTGCAGAATACTCTTGATATTATATTCTCCAAAATTATTCATATGATGCATTCTTAATACTTATAAAATATCCCAACTTCCTAACTTTAAGAACACCAAAGTTATGGCATTTCCGATCGTTCAGTTATATGGCAGCTTTAGGATATAGTCGGCCGATCCTTATGAAATTTGATAGGTCGGATTGATTGGCCAAAAATAAAAGCCATTGAAAATCCCAACTTCCTAACTTAACAAACACCAAAGTTATGGCATATCCGATCAATCAGTTATATGGCAGCTATAGGATATAGTCGGCCGATCCTTATGAAATTTGGTAGGTCGGATTGATTGGCCAAATATAAAACCCATAGGAAATTCCAGCTTCCTAACTTTACAAACACCAAAGTTATGGCATATCCGATCAATCAGTTATATGGCAGCTATAGGATATAGTCGGCCGATCCTTATGAAATTTGGTAGGTCGGACTAATTGGCCAAATATAAAAGCCATAGAAAATCCCAGCTTCCTAACTTTACAAACACCAAAATTATGGCATTTCCGATCAATCAGTTATATGGCAGCTATAGGATATAGTCGGCCGATCCCGGCCGTTCTGACATATATACTGCGTGCAAAGGAAAGAAGGGTGTGTGCAAAGTTTGAACTCGATAGCTTAAAAACTGAGAGACTAGTTCGCGTAGAAACAGACAGACGGACAGACAGACGGACAGACAGACGGACAGACAGACGGACAGACGGACAGACGGACAGACGGACATGGCTATATCAACTCAGGAGGTGATCCTGATCAAGAATATATATACTTTATAGGGTCGGAGATGTCTCCTTCACTGCGTTGCACACTTTTGACCAAAATTATAATACCCTCTGCAAGGGTATAAAAAGTGCAATCTAACTTTTTATGCGTTAAAAGTAATTTTAATGGATGATTATTATACCCTTGCAGAGGGTATTATAATTTCAGTCAAAAGTTTGCAACGCAGTGAAGGAGACATCTCCGACCCTATAAAGTATATATATTCTTGATCAGCATCACCAGGAGAGTCGATCAAGCCATGTCCGTCTGTCCGTCCGTCTGTCCGTCTGTCCGTCCGTCCGTTTCTACGCAAACTAGTCCCTCAGTTTTAAAGCTATCTGCTTGAAACTTTCCCAAAAGTTGTCTTTCTATTGCAGGTAGTATATAAGTCGGAACGAGCCGGATCGGGCTACTATATCATATAGCTGCCATATAACTGAACGATCGGAAATGCCATAACTTTGGTGTTTGTAAAGTTAGAAAGTTGGGATTTTCTATGGGTTTTATATTTGGCCAATCAATCCGACCCACCAAATTTCATAAGGATCGGCCGACTATATCCTATAGCTGCCATATAACTGATTGATCGGAAATGCCATAACTTTGGTGTTTGTTAAGTTAGGAAGTTGGGATTTTCTATGGATTTTATTTTTGGCCAATCAATCCGACCTATCAAATTTCATAAGGATCGGCCGACTATATCCTATAGCTGCCATATAACTGAACGATTGGAAATGCCATAACTTTGTTGTTGTTAAAGTTAGGAAGTTCGGATTTTTTATGAGTATTAAGAATGCATCATATGAATAATTTTGGAGAATATAATTTACAGAGTATTCTGCAAGGGTATATCAACTTCGGCTCCGCCCGAAGTTAGCTTTCCTTTCTTGTTATACCCTTGCAGAGGGTATTATAATTTTGGTCAAAAGTGTGCAACGCAGTGAAGGAGACATCTCCGACCCTATAAAGTATATATATTCTTGATCAGGATCACCTCCTGAGTTGATATAGCCATGTCCGTCTGTCCGTCTGTCCGTCTGTCCGTCTGTCTGTCCGTCTGTCTGTTTCTACGCGAACTAGTCTCTCAGTTTTAAAGATATCGAATTGAAACTTTGCACACACCCTTCTTTCCTTTGCACGCAGTATATAAGTCGGAACGGCCGGGATCGGCCGACTATATCCTATAGCTGCCATATAACTGATTGATCGGAAATGCCATAACTCTGCTGTTTGTTAAGTTAGGAAGTTGGGACTCTCTATGAGTATTATATTTGGCCAATCAATCCGACGTACCAAATTTCATAAGGATCGGACGACTATATCCTATAGCTGCCATATAACTGATTGATCGGAAATGCAATAACTTTGGTGTTTGTAAAGTTAGGAAGTTGGGATTTTCTATGGGTTTTATATTTGGCCAATTAATCCGACCTACCAAATTTCATAAGGATCGGCCGACTATATCCTATAGCTGCCATATAACTGAACGATTGGAAATGCCATAACTTTGGTGTTTGTAAAGTTAGGAAGTTGGAATTTTTTATGAGTATTAAGAATGCATCATATGAATAATTTTGGAGAATATAATGTACATAATATTCT